TGTGCGCACTTCTGGGGGAGGCATGGGGGGGCCAGATTTGTGCATGGGGTGAGGGCAGGGTGCCTTCTGTGGGCTCGGGGCCAGGGGCTGTGCTTGAGGCACGTAGCAGTGGTGGTACTAAGGGGGTGCTCTGGGGTGGGTTATGGCCACCCCACAATTTGCCATAGACACCCTGTAGTCCTCCATCCCAGCGCTGCCACTGCTTGCCTCGCTCCTACCTACAGAGTGCAGCCTGGCCTAGCCCCCACTCCGGGAAGAGGCCAGTGCTCCTGGCCCTTAGTCTGCAGCGGGGAGCCCACCTTTGCCCCATGCACAAATCCAGGGGGGCACATGCCCCCCACGCCTCCCTCAGGGGTGTAGACAGTGACAGGGAGCCACCCCCCCCAGGGGTCCCAACCCCCTACATCTCCTAGACAAGCCGCCTGCAGCTCTGCCTCATGCCCTGTCCCTGCCCCCACCCCATTCCCTCCTTCATCATGGGAGCCTTGATCTGCCTCTGTCCATACCCCTTCCCTCCATCCCTTCCCCCTCACAGACTTCCAGTAGGATACTTCTCTCCAAGTTGCCAGGCTGCATATCAACTCGGTATTGGCTGATATGGCTGGTTAATAATCGGCCATTGGTATTGGCCAAAAGAATCTTTATCGGTGCACCCTAATTCTCTCTTTTTAGTATGCCACTCGCATCTTGAGAAATTGTCTGTAAAACCACAGACTTTTTAATAAGTGCATACTGTATTTTTATAAATAAACATGCTGTTAATTAGCTGAGGCTTACAGTTTGATAGTTATCTTTATCAGTCCATGCTTCCATCTAATTTATTGTTGTTCCTTTTGCATAGTGTAATCAGAAAAGTAGCTCTGTAAAAATTGATAGTGTGAGGTTCCATTCTCAGTGATTTCCAGCAATTATACAGGAGAGCACCACGAATACCAGAATTGTGAAGCCATCTGACAATTACTCCCTTCAGGGCTTTGCACTACTTCCTTCACCTACCTGCCTGTAATACAATAATAATATTCTGCCACAAAGAGGTGTTAGGAGCATCATTGACTGGCAGAAATCATCCCTGATATCACCCCAGCACTAAAAATAATCTCTGATGTTCCACTGAAGTCAGCTTTGTGTCATTTGTTTATAAAGCACTTACACGATTTTTAAGAAGTGCTCCAATTTGAAACTCAAAAAGTGGTTTCTGTTCCTTCCTGTTCTACAAATGCAGCCTCAGATCTTTAAAATCTGGGTATCTTTTAGGCTATTTCAAGTAATTGCTTCTGCAATCAGAACTTGGTAGATCCTTCTATCAATAATGTAAGAGTCAAATAGAATCCAGCTCATTCTCCACTAGCCTTGTTGGCTGTGATGTGCTAACAGTAGCAAAACTTATTTTTGTCGTTGTAAATAATCAGCTGTGAAGAGGCACACTAGTAGCAAATATTTTCAGAAAGAAGTCATTTTACACAGTTTCCTAAACATAACTCTGTATTTTCCTTTTCTTTTCCTTCAAAGTAACTGTCAGGTTTCAATGGATTGCTAGCCTTGATTTGTTGTTTGGGAACCAGTTGCTGGATTTTGAATGCATTAATTTTCCTTTATTTGCTTTTTGTATCTAATTTAGACATGGCTGGCTTCAGACTGCCCTGCCCTAAGAATTGTGTCTGTGGAGTATGACACCCATGTGAGCGACTGGAAAGCAAAATGCCCTGTTGAGGCACACAGGTAACAAATGGAGCGCATATAATTTGGGGAGAAGGGGAGAAGCTATGAAAGTGATGCTATGAAAGGGGAGAAGCTATGAAAGCTATGGGATCATCCAGTCAGGAGTGGTCTTATTTGTTTTCAAACTCCACATAGTTGACAACATATTATCTAGATATAATATGTGGGGGGGAGAATTAAAGAGGAGGGGGTGTTCCATTAACTTAAACAGTCCTCCAGAAGTACTGTGGAAGACTGTGTTCTACTTAGACTATCTGCCGACTGAAAATAGGAATACAATTTTTTTCAAGAGCTGTAAATCCCTGGAAAGAGATCACTATGGTGAATAAAATACATAGCAGCTTTGGACATAAAGTAGAAAATACCACATCCTACTGTAATGTAGGTATGTACTCCTGCCAGAAGTATTTCTGACCACGAGCATTGAGAATCTCTGGCATACACCTTATTTGGAACATCACCTCCAATTTGACTGCTTGTTTTCTAAAAGAAAAAAAAATCTTAACACAGACTCAGGCTAAGGATTCTGGTGGACTGAAAGTTAACTTGAATCTGGAGGGGATCTGGGATAGAAGTTCAGTAAACCAATTTAAACTAAAACAGTTCATTCTGATACTAGATCCATCCAGGTTTATCTTAAAACAGTTTTGGCCACTTTTAAAGTAGTTTATGTGTACTGAACTTGTTATGTTGCAGATTTTGAACTGGTTTCCAATCAGTTTTACTGGTTTATGTCTAACTTTTGTCCCTAGCCTCAAAATTTCTTTTCTTTCTATAGAGATGACTGGGCTCTGGATCAGGTCCTTGTCCTAATCCTTTAAGCCAGTTATGTATGTACAGAACTTTAAGTAGGTGCACAGTTCCATATCCTTAGCTGGGAGTGCTTGGGTGTTTTTATAGATAAACATCTGTATAAGTGTTTATTTGTGTTTATGTTTCTGAAGTTTTTATGTTCAGGAAAGTGTTTGCAGGATCAGAGCTTAAGGGAGAATTTTGCTTTACATACATCATGGAAAAAAATTCAGCCCATTGTGTAAGAAGTTAGGGAAGTAAGTAAAAGGAAATAAAATGTCTATTTGTGTAGTAATTTCTGTTGCTTTGATAAAATGCAGCAAACTGAGTTCAGAAAGATCACTAGAGTATGCAGTATTTGAATATTTAACAGCTCCATGTGAATGTTAAAAAACAAAAGGGATGAAAGGGGTTGCTAAAGTGTATCAACAGTCAAAACCTAGCCCTTCCATTACCCTTCATAGCTATGCTAGCTGACTTTTTAAAAAAGAATTTACAAAGCTGTCATAGAAGTGTTGTGGACTCATAGGACAATATTTCGAGTCCCCATAGAGTTGTTAATTCCCAAATGCCCTTTTGAATTTGCTTTTCAAAAAGATCCAGTCCCCACAGCAATCTTAAAGCTTTGTGTTCAGCTAAAAAGGCATATTTGGGTATCCTTTCATGTGTGCTGTACCAATGTGAACTTTACTGTCCATGCTGAGAATTGATGGGATAGGACTTTTTAAATGTAGCTGTAATTTAGATCTTTGTGCACAGCAGCATCTCCAGTATCCTGATGTTACCATTGCTTATTTAATACTCCAAACTCTCACCTTATCTTGTCTTCTGTGTTTAACCTGCCTCTACTGTAAGGAAAATGGATGTTATGCTGTAAAGTACAGTACTGGGAATTGGAAAACACAGGTTTTTTTCCTGCTTTGTCACAGTCTTGTTAATATTAAGCAAGTAGTTCACCATTTCTGTACCTCAGTTTATCCATGTTTAAAATGGAGTTGATGCTTTGGCATTCTTGTAAAGTATTATTCTTTGAAAAGGACAAAGTATCATTTATTTTATTTTTTTTAATAACTCTAGGTAAATTATGCAGAGGGCCTGGACAGACCAACATTTACACTGTTTTAATGTGGGGGGGGATTTACATTTTATCTGCTCTGTTTTATCTGTTTGCTCCTGTCCTTCAGTGAATGAAGCTAAACCATAGTAACTTACCCAACTGTTTAATTCTAGAACACGCTGCCCAAGTTTGGTTTCTTCTTAGGTGAGTTAGAAGTAGAGAAACAAAACAGAGCAGATTCAGCTGAAATGTAGTAAATCATTCCTTTAAAACAGTGTAATTGTTTATCTGTTCACACCTTGACTGACTTTTGTCATTGCATTGCCCCAAACTTCATGCACACTTAGCAAAGTATTACCTTGTCTCACATTTATGTATATTTTCCTTCTAGAGAGGGTAGCATTTCTTATGCTCTGTCACTTTCATAAAGTGAATAAGGAATTATTTTTATTATTATAAAGTGAACAAAAATGTTTGAAGTCCTAACACCTAACAAGACGTTTACCGCTAAACTAAAGCTGAAAGAAAATTTTTGTAAGGCAAAATCAAAATGTAGTTATTGCTAGAAAATTATCTCAGTTCCAGTTCCTTGGAAACAGTCCTGCATGGTTTTCATTGTACAGTACTCAATTCCCAGTGAGGATGATGGCAGTTGAGTGAGGCCAGTAGCTGACATAAGTTGTGCCTAACTCCCTTTATCACAGTACTGATGCACTGAAACTTCATTCCAGTCTGAAGTTGCCCTTTATTATGTTCACTTTCCTCCTGCTTATACTATATTTATACTTCCATCCTATTTTTCTGCAGGAAATCTATTGCTTATAGAAGCAATGAGCTTATCAAAAAGCTTAGAGCTGCTGGTATTGGAGAAAGACCTTTGGTATGGGTGTCCCATAGCATGGGAGGTAAGTACATTGGCATAGATCAGCTATTTATTATCCATGATTATTTTTTAAAATGAGCAGTTAAATTAGTCAGATAGCCACATTTGAAACAAGTTTGGTTGCCCTAGATCAGGTGTGGCAAGGCCTTGTGGGCTGTGTGAGTGGCATGGAGCCAGTCTACAGGCCAAATTGGACCCAGAGACCATCCTCCACATGTTTGATCCATACATGTCCTGGAGTGGATACTGCATGTAGCGTGGTCCTGCTCCAGCTTCTCCAGAGCTCCCCACTCCAGGATGTGCTGCTGGATCTAGCATGGAGCTGATACAGTCTGGAGTGGGCAGCACATGGGGCTATCTAGCATGCCCCATGTACTGCCTATGGGTCAACTTTGACAGCTGAATGAGAGGGCTCTGTGGGCCAGATTCAGCCTATGGGATGCATTTTTGACACCCCTGCCCTAGATATTTGCAACTGCTCATTTGAAAATGGAGAACTGAGCTGATATTTTCGTAATGTCTTATACTGCATAACGCACACACTTCATTAATGAGCTCTGGTGTTTACTTGTATTGGTTAACAGCACAAATAATCGCCAAACAATTTAGCTGAAACGATAAATTAATCATGAAATTGAGAACTGACAGGCAAATTCCCCTTGTATCAGTTTTATAACATGTCTCTAGTGCCATTTAAAGCTCAGTGAGTAAGTCTGGAGTACAGGATTGACACAATATATTGACATTTTACTTTTTCTGCTTTCTTACAGCTTGCTGCATATTCTTACAGACTTTACAAACTAGAAAGCTAATTAACTGAGGCAGGAATATTGTTGCCTGCCTCATATTTAATATATGTTCATTATTCTAACAGTGATTTACTTCCCTGCATGAGTGAATTTCTTTTGTTGCTAGGTCTTCTAGTCAAAAAGATGCTGGTAGATGCTTCCAAGAACCCAGAAATGGATAAAATTGTAAACAATACCCGAGGCATTATATTTTATAGTGTACCTCATCATGGGTCTCGACTGGCTGAATACTCAATAAATGCTAGATACCTTCTCTTTCCTTCTGCAGAGGTTAAGGAACTCAGTAAAGGTATGTTTACTTTCTTAACTCTTACCAGCAGCATGACATGTTGCTGATTTTTGTTATCTCTGAAAGTTCATAGATAAAAACAGCAACATCTCTTCTTATCTTTAGGACTGTCTGTTACATGGATTAAACATCTGCTGCATCTGATTGGGGGAAGGGAGAACTAAGGTCAAATTTACAGAAGAGTAGGCTAAACTGTTTAGACATGTAACGGTGGAGTATGTTACTCCTGTGTAGTATACCTCACCAAGATGAAGGAACTAGTTGAGAATCTGAGTGTGGAAGGTAACTTAGGTGACAGAGATGGCAAAATGAATCTTGAGGGGGGAAAAAAAGGAGGGAGAACAGAAGAATAAAGGCAGTGGACTTCAAGAAATCAGACTTCAGTAAACTAAAATAATTGGTAGATAAGATTCCCTTGGAAACAGTGGTAAGTGAATGAAGAATTCACGAGCATTGTCAGTTTCTTAAGAGAATAATAATTAGGAGATATGCACAAGCTTTTCCAATGTGAAGGAAAGGTAGAAAAAGTAGGAAGAGACCAAGGTGGTTAAATCACAAGTTATTCAAGGACCTGGAACTCAAGGAGGAATTGAACAAAAACTAAAATCTAGGTCAAATTACTAAGTCTGAATATAAAGGGGTAAGGCCAAAATCAGAAAGGCCAAAGCAGGAAATAAGATACAAATAGCAGGAGACATGAAGAGAAACAAGAAAAGATTTTATATTTACATTGGTAGTAAGGAGAAGTACAAGGACAAATTGGTCAACTACACAATAAGGAAAAGATGCTAAGAACAGGTGATACCTAGAAAGCCAAAATGTTCAAGGTTTTTTTTCTTAAACCTTCACTTGAAAGGTTAACTGTAATCAGATGGTTAACACAATTAGCATCACTGAAGAGGGGTAAGAACTCAGACTAGTGTAGAATAGAGAATGTGGAATATGGCTGGAAAAGATAGGAAAAGGGCAAACTTAACCCCAACTTTTTAAAAGGAGGAAAAGAGAGAATCAAGGAGTTATAGATCGCTCAGTTCCATTCTGTTTAAAGATATGAGAATAACCAAACATTAAATCTATTGATAAATAGATAAATATCTAAAAGATAACAAGGGTATAAATAACAGCCAGATTGGATTTGTCATGTCAACTCAGTTTCTTTCTGTGGCAGGGTAACAGGTCTTGTGGATAGTGGAGAAACAGTAGATGTGATGCATCTGTCTCACATTTGTCTCTGTGACATCCTTTAAAGCAGTTTAGAAAATATAGTCTAACTCCAGATGGAAAAAAGGGAGAGGTTACTATGTGACTGGTCGACATATTCAAAGAGTAGATGTCAGTGTCTCACTTTCAATGGGAAGGATGTATCAAGTGGGGTTCATCTGGGCCTGGTACTAGTCGGTGTTTTCATTAGTGACTTGGATAATGAAATAAAGAGGACACTCATTAAATTTGCAGATGATACCAAGTCAAGAAAGGTTGCAGGCACTTGGAGAACAGGATTGGAATTCAAAATGAGCTTGACAAATTGTAGGGAGAAAAAAAAAATCCTTGAAGTAGATGGAATGAAATTCAATATGGACAAGTGCAAAGTATGACAGTTAGGTAGAAATAAGTGACTGCACAAATAAATGCCAGTCATTCTCAACTGTGTTAGGCAGCAGTTCTCCAGAAAAAGATCTCAGTGTTGTAGTGCCACACAAAGTATATGAGGTACTGTGCTTGCAGTGGGTCATACTTATGCAAAAAAGGACAACATCATGCTAGGATATATAAACAGTAGGCTCATATGTAAGATACATGAAACAGTTCTTCCATTCTCACACTAAGGACTTGGGTGGACTACTGTTTCTAGTTTTGTCATGGAGTGTCATAACAGCCTTAAAATATATGAAAGGTTGCTGCAAAGAGGAAAGTTATGAATGACTCACTATGTTCACTAGCAATAAGACAAGAAGTAAATTAAATTTAATTTAAAAAGTGAGATTTAGGTTAAGTGGTACGGAAAAAAATTCTAATTAAGCACTGGAATCATTAGGGAGTTGGGGAATGTCCATCGCTGGAAGAAGAATATAAAGATCTGTTAGGAATGATTTGGGCAGGAACTTTCCTTAGGACAAAGGCACAAACCAGATTAACCTCCTGAGGTCCCTTCCTGTCCTATTCTGATGATTCTCTGATACTTTATCTGCTATGGAAGTGTAGGATCAAATGATAGAGTTGCATAAGCCAGTTTCCTGTTAAATTGAACACAGGGTCTTACAACAGATGTGCTGCTCTTTTTATTTGAGGTTATAATTTTGCCAAAAATTATTCCTTACATGATTAGTGTAGATAAGTTTCAGTTCTGAGACTGAGTTCACACATACTGCGATATTTATTTTCCATTTTTCTTCAGACTCTCCTGCCCTTAAAGAACTGAATGATGACTTTCTCTCATTTGCCAAGGATAAAAAGTTTCCAGTGTTGAGTTTTGCAGAAACTTTACCTACACACATAGGGAGCATGATAAAACTACACGTGGTACCAGTGGAATCAGCAAGTATGTCAAATAACTATTTGCTGTTTTGTGTTTTGCTGTAGGGAAGGATGCTATCATAGTAGTAGTTGGAAAGATATTTAATAGGATATTATGTGAAAAGTTGTTGATGGTGGCTTTTCCAAAGTTTTCACAAGTTTTTTAACTTGGTTACATTCCTGTATCTATACATGTGTGCCCCTCCTGTTGAAGTCGAAGGGAATTATGCATGTATCTGAAGGCATCTCTCTTACATTTTTCACATTTGAACAGTGCATACTTACTAAAGGAAAACAGGCCTTGCTCTTATATTTCTCATCTGTTCTTCTGATTAAAGCTCCTACAGCCTAATATGGACATGTGAATATTTTCACTAGCCAACAGAAAAGCCCAGCTGTAGCCACCCTAAAAACAGGAAAGAAAATTGGCAAATACTGACCAAAGTAATTGTACACAAATATATTTTTCTACCTGTTCTACATCCGCGTCCTTCGTCAGTCAGAAGATGTATGCTGAAGCAGTTGTGTGTTGAAAATTAATTCATAATCCTGAAATCTTGACTTGCATATTTTTGCTGGTGTGTGAAAAGGCAAAAAATGCAGGGTTTGTGTATATATAAACCCTCTATATAATTTATGATCAGCATATAGAACTTGTTGTAGTCCAGAGTTGGAGATTTCAAATGTTACTTCATGGCTTGGGGGTTTCCCATACACGATTGACTTGCCTAGTGAGATTTTTTGCAAGGATTGATTCTTACCTGTTTACTTGCCAAAATATTATTGATATATATATTTTAAATGAAGCCTGAAAATTAGAGTGTTAAACCAGAAAAAAACAAAATACAGAAACAATCAGGGCATGAGGAGTTGTGTAGAGCAGGATGGCAAGAGTTGTATATATGATGCTAGCAGAGTGCTCTCCTTTTTTTGAAGTAGCACTTAGAAATTTCAGCACTCCTTACACTGTTCCCACACGTAGTGGTACTCAGTTTGTTCAGTGGTTATGCTGACAAGCAATGCTTGCTTTCTCACACACCCACTCTACCACTCTAGTGGCCTTTCATGTACAAGAAGAAGCTTCAGGCACAATGAAGAATTTCTCTGAAAATTCAAGCACTTGCAAATAGAATTAAATTGCCAACCTCAGCATGACCTAGAAGTGAGAGCTGTGAGGAAACCTATGTGTCTTAACTAGTTTCAGTGTAAATAAGGAATTGGAAATGGAGCACCATTTATAGGAGTTTATGCCATCATAGGGAACGTGCCTTTATGCTGTTTTGAATATTTAAGTGTAAATCACCCTAGTTTTAATCTTCATATCAAAATATTTTTATAAAGATTTTATTTGATTATGGTAAAGTTGAACAAGTTTGACAATTGGTGAAGCCTTCCACATTCCATTAGATACTTTTGAAATGCAGATACTGGGTGCATCTATATGCTCATTTAATGTGCTTTAGTTAATGAGCATTAAATATAGTACCTCCGGGCATTTATACACATACCCTTCTGTCCTGCAATGTGCTGAGATCCACTGCTTCGGAGCAGACTTGATTAATTAAGTCTGCTCTGCACACGAGCTGATGTGAACTGTGCTGCGCCGAGTGCAGTTGTATAAAAAGTGAAATGTGTGTCAGTGTGCAGAAAATGGCAGTGGTGCACTTTTGAACCAAAACATCTTTTTATGTGTTTTAGTTCAAAAGCACGCTACACCATTTTCACAGCACTGATGCGTATTTTGCCACTTTTACAACTGCAAGCAATGAAAAGCATCCAGTGCTGCAAAGTGCCAGGCGCTGTGACGCTTGTGTGTGTAAAAATGCCCTCCATCATGAGGAACTAGAAGAAGGTTCATCAGTCTATTTTCATGTGCATTAGCTAAAGAGCACAGTTTTTGTGACATTTTAACGCCCATTAAAATGGGCATTAAATCACATGTGTAGACACACCCACTGTGGGTTACATCCTGGGCTGCTTTGAAACCAATGGTGAAACTCCCATTCACTTCAGTACAGCCCTGATTACATTGTAAAGTGGGTACTGCTAACTGGCTCAGTAGAGAAGCAGAAGTTGTGATCCTTCAGCAGGTCCTAGCAATAGTGTTTGCCTACACAGATCCTTGATCCCTTTGAAGTCATACTTGGTTAATATGGCAGCATGTTTAAAATGTTTTTGGTCCATTAAAAACATAACCTATTCTCAGGAAAAATAATTAAACAACAGAGAAGAGCTGACTGCTTCTGGAAAAGCAACCACTAGTGCAAGAGGTTTTTTTTTTAAATCTAGATGCTCTCTTTTGTTGAACTCTGAGTGTTTTTTCTTTTTCTTGGTCCAGATTTAGGTATAGGAGATCTAATTCCAGTGGCTGTCAATCATCTAAACATTTGTAAGCCAAAGAAGAAGGATGCTTTCCTGTACCAGCGGACTTTAAAGTTCATTCAGGATGCACTTGCAAGAGAACTTGGAAGCTAATTCTTTGCCATGTGTGCACACATAGCAAAATCTTTTCTCTGAAACTTCTGAGAAGCTGAGAATTGCAAAGACATTATATTATTAATAAAATATGATCTCAGTGTGGCTTTCAGCATATCTGCATAGGTCTGCACTACTTATGGCTGAAATTTGTTCCAAATAAATGTGCACCAATCCACAGTCCTGTAAGTCTGGCATTAAAAGGTGAGAATCAGCTTTGATTCATTTTGCTTGTCAACATGCCTCTATATAATTTTATATAATTGTTTGGCCAGCGGAGGATGGAGATACAGTGGAAGAGGAAGTTTCAAGTATTTTGTAGCTATTTCTGTGGAACATGATTTGGTGAGCTGTGAAGGATGTATCTTCCCAGCTGGAGAGGTTGTTATGAGGGTCCTGGCTCTTTTGACTGAAATAACTATACTTCCTGGATAAAAATCCTGTACAGAGAATCAAAAACAGTTAACCCAGAAGATGATTATTGGGTTGGCAAACAAGCAGCTATCTTGAAGTACACATCTTCTGTTCATGGTTAGGTATTAAAACAAAATGTAGAGGGAATATCCCTGATTGCTTGATTCAGAATATTTTTTAAACTTTCTTTTTTAATAAATCCCACTTATCAAATAACAGATTTAACATTTATAGCTGCATCCAATTGCCTAAATTATGTAAATTATATGTAATTATATGTAAAGACAGATATTTATTTTCCCTCAACTGTGTTCCCTTAAGTCAATGTCCACAGGAGCCTTGTGTTCTTCAAGATAGTATTTTGATTGATAACCAGTTACAATATGGTTGTTCTACTTGCCTTTTTGTTTCATGGGCTGAGAAGTGTTAGCAAGTCCAGTACTGTTTCCTGCCTGAGGAGGAGATATCATCACCTAATCTGATCTTTGGCATGGTATCCTGTGGGAAGGAGACAATGGGAGCTTAATCTAGTTTTGTTTAAAAAAAAAAAAAAAAAAAAAAGTCTTGCACAGTTCTATTTTAATCATATCCGCTGTTGAACTTCTAGATAATAGAAAAATTGACCTAATGTGAGACTGTTTTATTTCAGCTTAGTTTGTGTTGGCTGGGTCAAGGGGAGGCCTTTTGCTCTTTCAAATAAAAGATCTAGGATAGGAGATGCACGTGTTAACTTCTGGCTGCCTAATTTAGGGACGCTGAGAAAGCAGTGTACTTAATCCCTGGAGGCATTGGCTCGGATGTTCAGTAGGGAGCTTTTTAGCTGATTTAAAGAATAGTGCTGGAAAAGCTCTATTGGAGCAAGACATTTATGCAGTCCTTGACAAGATGGTAGCTATGACAGGAGACTTTGTGGAGGAGGGAGAGCATATCAGTAAGGCAGGAAAAAATACGGACATTCCCAGAGCTCTAATCAGAAACACTGAGGACTTCAAAGCAAAATATTTTGCACTTGTGGAGGCCTGTGTGAAGTTATTTACTTCATGTAGAAAACCAGCAGCATTGTCTTGTATATATTGTGTGGACTGTTTTTGCCCTGAGTGTTTTGGATCAATGTCATGATGACACAGTTAATATCACTGATGAGAAATAAATGTAATTAAGAACAAGACTGCCAGTATTCAGCCACCTATCTTTAAGCCATAAAAGAATCCAAACAAAATTAAGAGCAGCCTGGCTATGGCCTTGATTTAACAAAGCTGTGTTGAAGTTTGCAGCCACAGATCTTCCACTAACCCTTCTGATCTTCAGCCTCTCCCAAACCAAACACCTGAGTAGGCTGCAGGCTTCTAGGCAGCCCTTTGCTAACGGAATCCTTGGCTGATGTTGGTAAGGGAACCACCAGAGACTGTTTAGGGAATCACTTAATAGCTCTCTTTTGTGGGACGAATCTTCCTGATCATACAGTTACGATGGTAAAAAGCCACAAAATCAAAACAAGTTGAAATGCACCTCAGAAGTCCCATGGGAGCTTAGTATAAAAATTCTGTCTGCTGAAACCACCTTTGACATTCCCATATTAGAACATCCTGATCTAGGAGGACACAGAGCTGGGAAGAGCAGTTTCTGAAGCTTAGCCTCAGCCAGCCAGACTTGCACTGTCAGGTTCAGGATCCAGAGCAGCACAGAAGGCCTGGCACCATTTTTGACCTGAAGCCCTATGTGTTTTCAGGGGAGCATTTCAGACTGAAACAGGCCCAAAACAATGTTTAAAGAAACATATTCTGCTGATGCTGTCTCTTAAACTTCAGAATATAAATACAGTAGAGTTCTTATTTGTTAAGAACAGACCTGGGCCATATGGAATTAGTTTGGATACCCAAGATTTGGACAGACTTGAGAACTGAACATTGTAAAACATGTGGAGTATAACATTATCCATTTCTGAGAAGTAAACTTTTTTAGCTAAGAGGGATTCGGATCAATGAGATTCTATGGTAATGCTTTGTACGGTAAATCCTTTTGTATTGGCTATTGTAACTGGAATTCTTGAAGAACTCTCATTTTTCTATAACTGCTGAATGAATAAATATATAACCTTTTAACTTAATAATAGGCTTGAGTTATTCAGTAATGTTGTATTTGGGAGATGGTAATAACATGTTTTTTTAAAGAAAGTAATTTACTATATATATAGTGAAAATATGTATTAAATAAATTGCAAGTGACCTGCTGAGTGGGAACATTTGTTTGCTAAATTTTGATAAGTGTCTTGTGTTCAGTAATTAGCTGTTTTATTATTATTGCCCTTTGTTTGTGGTGTATAAGGTGAGAACAGGAGTGCTAAGAGCTCCAAAGGCATAAAGGTGTGGAACTCGACCAAATCTTAAATGTTTTGGAAAGCTGTATTATTTTCCAATGTCAGTTTTGGACTGGGTTTTGATTTTGTCAGGACTAGTGGAGCTGCTCTGTATTAAATCCAGTCTTGTGCTTCTCTTCTCTCACCCTCTTACCAACTAAGAATTTAAAAACATAAGTGGACTGGGTCAGGCCAGTGGTCCATCTAGCCTGGTATCCTGTTTTTGACAGTGGCAGGAGTACATGCTGTACGGGGAAAGCACCAAACTGGGTCTCTCTAGAATAATCTATTCCTTACTCAGTACTCTACCAGGCATCCACCATTTTTGGTTTAGAGATGCCAGAGGAAGTATCCCCAACTGTTCTATTCAACAGCCATTTATAGATCTATCATCCATGCATTTATTCAGTTGCTTTTTGAACCTGGCTGTGCTGTCTGCATCCACCACCTCCTGCAGCAATGAATTCTACAAGTTAACTATATGTTACATAAAAAAATTCTTTAAACTTGTCACTTAGTCATTTCAGTGTGTGCCCAATAATTGTAGTATTCTGGGACTTGGTGAACAACTGTTCCCTATTCATTTGGTCCACACCTGTCATTCTAAAGGCCTCTGTCATATCCCCCCTCAACCACCTTCTTTCCAAACTGAAGAGTAAGAAACTGTGCTTTACTGTTAACTTTAGAAGTGGCCACTGTATTTCATGCCAATCTAAAATAGTGACTTATTTTTTCTGAGCTGCACAGGACTCAAACTTGGCCTTTACCCAAAACACCTGCACTTTTCCGCCGGTGGGAATTCAGCAGATGTGTGGCTAGTTGACAGATGCTTTTTGCCTGCTTGCTGACTGCTGGACAATCTCTTCCCTATTTACAACTTTGGCACTTACTTACAAAAATACTTTATTTTAATGCAGTTTTGAATTTCTTCTCTGAATGGGGCTTTTAAGCATGTTTGCAGGTCTCCTCCTGAGACTGCAATTTGGGTAGTTTATCTAGCTTAAATGGAACTGTCAATATGCTTGTTTTATGGCTTTATGATTCTTTATGTCATTTAGTTTATAATTTCATAGTTACCACAGCATTCACAAAATGTCAGCAGGGAATCCTGTACATTAGAGGAAGAAGTATTCAACTCAGCCTATGTGCTGACTTGGCCATTTGTTGATCCCTGGGTTGCAACTTGGAATTAGTTCTCATTGTTGACCTAACATGCACAGTAAATAGCTGTAGTACTACATGTAAGAATTCCAGTTGTGCTAGCCCGTAGTTATGTTAAACTATAGTAAGTTATGGTGCTGAAAAGCAGTAGGAGAGAAAAGGGCCTCCTGACCACTGGGTGACCCAGTAAGAAAGATAAAAAAAAAAACTAAAATGGAATAACGGGCAAAAAGACACTGAAGGGAATATGAAAACAGTAGATACAAATGTAAAAGTTAGTACTTACTAATGAGAGTGCAGGTTTAATTATTATAGAATCATAGAAGTAGGGTCGGAAGGGACCTTGTAGGTCTTCAAATCCAACCCCCTGCCTGGGCAGGAGAAAAACTGGACTCAAGTGAGTCCAGCCAGGTAGGCATCAAGCCTCTTCTTAAAGACCCCCAGGGTAGGAGCCAGCACCACTTCCCTTGGAAGTTGGTTCCAGCTCCTAGCTGCCCTAACTGTGAAGTAGTTCTTGCGGACGTCTAATCTAAACCTACTCTCCAATAATTTGTGTCCATTATTCCTTGTTATGCCAGGGGGCGCTAGGGGAAACAGTGTCTCCCCCAAACC